CCAATACTCGACATTATTTGGATATTTATAGTAGAGAGTTAGACACTGACATGTGTTATACATTCACCAATACTCGACATTATTTGGATATTTATAGTAGAGAGTTAGACACTGACATGTGTTATACATTCACCAATACTCGACATTATTTGGATATTTATAGTAGAGAGTTAGACACTGACATGTGTTATACATTCACCAATACTCGCCATTATTTGGATATTTATAGTAGAGAGTTAGACACTGACATGTGTTATACATTCACCAATACTTGTCAATATTTGGATATTTATAGTAGAGAGTTATAGACTGACATGTGTTATACATTCACTAATACTCGCCAATGTTTGGATATTTGTAGCAAGAGTTGCCAAATCTGGATACTTTTTGTGGAGGCACTATAACAGTGAGTAGCGTCCCCTGGATGGGGGAGATCATGCTCCACCAGAAAATTTAGAAACAAAGGTGCACTTTTATGTATTCTGGGGAACTTCAGACATTTATAAGATTGAAATTATGTTTTCTTTTTTCATTTACAGTGGGCTTATATACTTTTAGAATCACAGGCATTTGCTAATATCGTTATACACTTATACTGTAATAATTGAAAAATATATAAAAAATACACTTATTCTGATTAGTGTTCTTTGTTATGTTCGTACGTTGCACTTTTGGCATCTTTCAATACCTGCTTGCTGTGCTTGTATTTGCTGGCTGAGGAATCTGAGTTAAACTTGCAGTTTATAAGGGCACATACTGTGTCATGCCCGAAATAAGTCCTGTTTTTTGTTACGATCTTTCTCATCATTGAAAATGCCCTTTTCATCGTTGCATTGGAATATGGTACAACAAGAAGACAGTATAACAATGTCACACAAAATGAGTAAATATTTACTTCATCCTAGTTGCCACTCTATTCTTTTTATCAAATTATTTAAAAGGTTGATATCGGGAGATCCTAGTCGCTTGTCGGGAAACAGGACTACATACGGGGAAACTTCCGCCGAAATCAAGAAAGTTGACAGGCCTTCAAGTATTATAATTTCACTAATACTCGCCAAAATTCAGCAGAGTAGCTGTAGACTTGATCTAACCACTAGCACCTGTATTCAACAAGGGCAACTAGTACGTGCTGACAGTAGTCGATTATGTGACACCTTACCCAGAAGCCATAGCACTGCCAAAGATAGAGATGGAGAGAGTAGCAGAAGACCTCCTGGAAGTGTTCTGCAGAGTAGGCTTTCCAAAAGAAGTCTTGAGTGAGAGAGGGACCAAGTTTACCTCAGAACTGATGCAAGAGGTATGCAGACTCATCAGCACTATGTAGCTCTTTACCACCCCGTACAACCCCAGGTGTAATGAACTTTGTCTAAAAGACAATGGAATCTCAAAGAGCATGCTGAAGAAAATGTGACAGAAGAGACAACGTGACTAGGACAGGTACCTGCAGGCATTAGTATTTGTTTACCAAGAAGTCCCACGAGCAAATTCAGAATTTTCATCCTTTGAGTTACTGTATGGAAGAACATTATGAGGTTCAATGCAGATATTGAAAAACTGTGAACAGGGGAAGAAAAGTCAGAAGTGAGGAATACATAACAGTGTGTGTTAGATCTCAAAACCCGAATGGAGGGGGCCTATCAACTCGCTTGAAAAAGTTTGTATGCAGCTTAAGGCAGTCAGAAGCACTTCTATGACAAGAAGGCCAAGAATCGACGTTTTAAGGTCGAACAGAAGGTCTTGGTTCTCCTACCCACAGATAAGAACAAACTTACCTTGTAGTGGAAAGGAACTTTTGAAGTACCGGAAGGGGTCAACAGAATAGACTATAAGGCGAAAGTGAATGGAAAGATCAAGATCTAACACTGCCATCTGTTGAAGAGGTACTTTGAGAGGGAAGAAGACGAGTGCAGCTGTTGTGGCACAAATTGAATTTGCAGGTGTTATAGACACCTATCTGGAAGATGGTGACTTTGTCATAGAAGATGAAGAACTATTTGGGCCTAAGACCAGTGGATGGAGATGAGACATACAAAGACATCAACATCAGTGAAGAACTGACTGGTAAGCAGAATAAAGAGCTACACAATCTACCAGAAAAGTACACATATGATATTCACCGATAAACCAGGCAAGAAAAACCTTGTGCAACCCAAGATCGAGACCACGACCAGGTATCCAGTCAAGATGAAGCTCTACCAGATGCCTTATGCAATGAGAGACCTGATCAAGCAAGAAGTCAGTTAATGTAAGAAGCCAGAATCACTGAGCCTTCGAATTCACCCTACTGTTCACCTATGGTAATCGTGAAGAAAATGGACGGCTCAAACCACTTCTGCATAGATTTCTGGAAGCTGGACCTAATGACGAAGTTCGATTCTGAACTTATGGGCAACCAATAGGCTATCTTTGCAAAACTAGATGGGACTACAAGATCGATCTTAGTAAAAGTTATTGGTAGATCCAAATGGAGACAGGATCTAAAGAGAAGACAGCCTTTGTGACACCAGATGGATGTTACCAGTGTTAGAGGATGTCACATGACTGACCTGACCTAGAAAAGAAACCCAAAAAGGTGAAGTAGGAATAACCACAGTAGATGGCATTTCAAAAGTGGAAGAACGTGTTAGGAAGTTCACCAATTCCTAGAATGCCAGACTTCAACAAAATGTTCAGTGTTCTGGCCAATGCATCAGACATTGGAATTGAAGCAGTACTTCTGTAGAAAGATGTAGATGGACTGTTTCCCGTAATTTACACGAGTAAGTAGCTGTTGAGTAGTGAGAAGAACTATTCTGTGATTGAATGAGAATGTCTGGCTCTCATATTTGCTATCCAGAAATTCCAAAACTACTTCTATGGGAAGGAGTTCATGATCCAGATGGACCATCAACCCCTTGCACACATCAAGAGATACAAAATCGACAGTGCAGGGATCATGCGGGGCGCTGTACCTCCAGAACTACCATTTCTGCACTGAGGCCATCAAGGGGACTGCAAATGTTGTTGCAAACTGTATGAGTAGGCTTTGTGCATGAACTGAAAACAGTCTTTGTATATAGCATACAAAATATTGAAATATTTTTCATCAAGAGGGGGTTATTATTATATATA